ATACAGTTTCCGATGCACCACAAACTGATATATACAAGCTAAAAATCACATATTATGATAATCTTACTTCATAATGTAGAGTTTGAATGGGATAAAACGGGTACAAAAGTGATAATATTACATAAAATCTCGAAAATTCCACTAAATTTGAGGAGTTGAGGGGGTGGTTGTAATTATCCAAACAAGAGGGGTGTTTTTGTAATTTGACCATACCTCAGGGGGGTGTTTGTAATTTACCCAATATTTAATTTTACATTTTTATCGTATAATTAATACGTGATACACATTTTTTTTACTATTTTTAACAATTAATCAAATATCTCATGGTGCGGAACAATAAATGATACGATATGATACGTAGAGGAAAACGATACGTCGATATATTCTGATACGATATATTCGATAGTATTACGGGTCAAACTTGGGGGGATGACTATATATTGACCTAATGATTTATTCAGGTCACATTAATAGAGATTTCCCAGGCAAAGAAAAGCTGGGAAACTCTAATCATTCCAAAAGTACTTTTTTTAAGTCACTTCAAAACTAATACAATAATTAGTTAACCATCATCACCACATTCATCTGTTTTTCATAGGTAAAGTGATTAATTAATTAATTATAGATTAATTACTTTGAAGAAACTAAACAATTCATTAATTATGTATGCTCTGTCGGCTTAGTTTTTAAATTCTCACTAATTGTGTTCAAAAAAGCTGTTTTTTATTCTAATCAAGAATTAATTATTTAATTTTCTCAAAAAAAAAAAAGGACTAATTATTTAATTACCTATTCAATTATGGATGCCACTAATTTATTTTAGATAATTAAAAGAAATAACCAGTCATATAAGTGCAGTGGATAAATCTTCACTCTCGTCCAATAACTCGCAAACCGTACAAGAGATATAGTGAAGCTACTGCGGGATTGAGGTTTCTGGAACGCACATTTTCAAAGAAGAAATTATAGAGTCAAATATTTAGTACTTTAATCATTGTTTTTTTAAGACAAATATTCACATAATTATCTTAATTAGTACGTTATTCAAATGAAATCGATATTTAACTAGTACTAACTCGAGCGCATGTGATATATAGCGTAACCTTATAACCGAGTCTCGACAAAAAATCGATCTCATGTTCACTATCAATTATTTAAAAGCTCGCGAGTTGATTCACAATTTTCTTTAATCCTTAAATTCTTACTATAAATATGGAAATAATTAATATTCAATAATATTAATAAATATAATAAATATAATAAAACTACAATGAAATATCATTGCAACACATAAGCGGGAAATCGGCTTCCATAGTTCCATACACATAACATAGTTCTATAAAAATAAAAGGGGTAATGGCAAATAGACCCATGACAAGGGCACTTAATTCAAAAAGGGACATCCAACTTTTTTGTTTTTCAAATAAACCCACCCAATTCAAACTTATTTGCAAATAAGGAAAATCCCTTTATATATACCAAAATTACCCCCAATTCATTGAAACCTAATTCAACTATAATTTCATGATTTACACCCCAATTTAGCCCAATTTCATCAATTAACCAATTTTAACCATAATTTCAATTTTGACCCCAATTTTAACCCTAATTCTTATCAATTCCACCCATTATGCTCTAACTTCTTAAATATTACACATTGACCCCGGATTTAAACTAATATATCACATTAACCCCCAAAACTTTTTTTTTTCAGAAAATAAATTTTTTTTCTGAAATATTTTTTTCCGGCGAGATTCCGGCGTTGACCGCCGGAGACCGCTGGTCTCCGGCGTTGACTTTTTTTTTTTTTTTTTTTTTTTGAATTTTCGTTTTCCTGAAATTTTTTTCCGGCCGTTCAACGGCCGTTGACCGCCGGGTCTCCGGCGTTGACTTATTTATTTATTTATTTATTTATTTTTTTAATAATTTTGTTTTTTCTTAAAAAAAATATTTTAATTAATTTTACTGTCTTGGCTGCTAAATTACTGTCTCCGGCAGCTATTTAACTGTCGGAGACTGTAATTTAACTGTTAATTGACTGTTTTTTTTTTCTTCAAAAATATTTTTAATTAATATTACTGTATTCGTTGCTAAATTACTGTCTCCAGCAGTTATTTAACTGTCGGAGACAGTAATTTAATTGTTAATTGACTTTTTTATTCTTAAAAAAATATTTTTAATTAATATTACTGTATTCGTTGCTAAATT